ATTCTATTATATGCTTTAATGTAAATAGTTTTTCTGTCTTTGAATGATTTATGTGCTATCATGCAGATGTATTACATTAATTAGCCATCCACTGTCATAGTAAAATATCTGTCAGATCCCTCTCACATAGAATTTTTTGGGGCAGAAATGTAGAAATCTCTTTATGCTGTAACAACCTGTCACTACCGTGTAGAAAACTTTCTTAACTGATTACTTTTCCATTTATTTTCTCTCTGTTGATATCATCATCCCTGCCATTATGCCCCATAACTTGGGGTCATCATCAGTTCTTTCCTGTTTTTCACCCGGCATATTCAAGCTGTAGACAGATACTACTGCTTCTGTCTCCACAACGTTTTGGAGATCTCAGTATGTTATTCAGACATCAAAAACTATCATAATCTCTGTCATTATTATTATAACTGCCGCATCTCCAACTTCCCAACATTCATATCACCCTCCTCAGATCCATACAGAACACACAACCACTAAGATAATTTTCCTGGCTTATGGACCTGACCATGTATTTGTCCATTTTGAACCCTTTTTCTGGTTCCCCTTCCTCACCACTTCATGTTTTAAATTCTTGACCTGATCTTTAAGATCCAACATAATATCCATACCTACTTAACTAAGCTTGTCTCTTGTTTTATTCAGCTTCAATGCGCCATCTGTCTGCTTTCCCCACAACCATTTCCTATTTTTTCCACACTATCCCCTTTGCATGGAATTCCCTACCTGCCTGGCCGCTACCCTCTCCTCATTCAAATCCCTCCATAAGACTTCTACCAATCTTCTTATCAGAAATTAGTACAAACACTTTAAAAATGTGTTTTTGTTTTGTCGTGTTTTATTTTGCTCCAAATCTTTGCTGAGTAACTATATAATCTCATTGGTACAATCCCTGCCCTTCCTCCCCTGCCAATCCATCCCTACTGCGCATGCCCATATTGTTGCGCAGTGTCTGATTATATGTACTCTTTGGCACAAGAACCATGTTTTCCTATGTGTACAGTGAGGTATCTAACAAACTTTCAGGTGCTCTAATACAGTGGTCTCCAAAGTGGGATGCACAAGAGGATCCTTGGGGGTGCGCGGCAGGAGGAGAGCTTTTTTTATTTACTTCGGCATGGCAGGGGGTGCTCAAAAAATTTTTACTGATGGGGTGCCCAATCAAAAAAGTTTGGAGACCACTGCTCTAATAAATAGCAATAATTATTTCCTTTGTCTAAATTAATTCTACATTGACATTTCCAGCAGAGAACCAGGTCGAAAAGAAAACTTTTAACAGTGTTATCAATTAAATACAATTTTTAGTACATAAAAACTCGGCTCTTTAGTTTTCGGAGATTAACAAATGCCTTCAATTTCATTTCTCCCACTCCAGCCATTTCTGTTATGATTTCCCAAATACATTTTCTATATTTGCAAAAAGTATGTTAAATATGTTACATTTGTATATACCCAAACACATGGACCACTGTCTTTCAAACTGTCTCAACACAAAAGTATTCTCCTCTGCAGTCACAGTCAATATAGCAACTTTCAATCCAAAAGGAGTTTTTATTACAAAATTAGGAGACCCGTAATAGAGCCTACACCCTACAGTATAACAGAAGCCTTTTTTACAGCTTTGATTCTGGAGCCACAACTGGCTCCATTCAGCTGTAAGAGATTGTTTTCTCATATGTGTTTCAGAAATATTTAAAAAAAGAAGCAGCTTTAAATTTGTGTTCAATTGATTTAGAACTGGTTGACATGTTTAATTTCAACACTGTCATCTTACTGTGACTCTGTTGATTTGCTTGATCATTGTTGTCCATGGTAACTTCTTGGCAAATGGTAACTTGGAGATTTCTTAAAATTTAAGAATAACCCTATTTTATTTCAATAGTTTGGCGTTTTCATATTATCATTTAATTTTTTTTCCAAAATGGAATGTTATTTACTTTTAATTATGTTTCCTTTTCCCATCCTCTCTCTCACAAATGGTCTCATACACAGCTCTAAGAACTCCTAATGTTTGTACTTAACTTTATGCCCTGGAATGTGTGGGTTTATACTCCTTAGATGTTTTTATGTTGACAAACATAACTGCAGCAATTTGTATCTAATCCTTTTTTTGAATTCTATAATACCGTATTGTGACAATGAGTTCCACAGGTTACGTATGTATTGTGTTTAAAAAAAACAATTTCCTTTAATCAGTTTTAATTGTATTGGGTTTATATTTGTCCCCTTGTTCTTATATTATGAGCAAGGGTAAATAGGAGTGACTAATGCATCTTTTCTATTCATTGTTTTTTATATTTCGATCATATTACCTCTTGTTCACCTCTTCCCTAAACTAAGCGGCCCTAATCTTTACAATCTTTCTATGCATGGAAGCCTTTCTGGATTTCCTAATCATGATTGTTGCCCTTTCTTTGACCTTTTCCATTTCTACTGTATCTGTTTTGAGGAATAATTGACAGTAATTTTATCTATAAAGTAACACTTTCCCACCTTCAGCCTTGTGAGCATTGGATCTCTCATAATATTCTTTAAAAAGTTAGATTCCTTTGAGTGAAAAACAAATATATATATTAATTTGTTTTTCACTCAAAGGAATCTGCATTGACAGCCCAGTTAGTCGTATTCTGAACTTCTTCATATAAAGGTTTTTGTCTGCTCTCTGGGGCATGCGATACAAGAGAGAGATTGTGAGAGAACTCCCCTTTCAATCACCATCAACCTAGGTTTACAATAGTTTTCCTGGAAACCTTGTACACTCTTTTTTATACAGTGATCTCTCTGCATGTTGTTTTCTGCCTATAACATTCTCTTTCTCTTGGATAGCATAAGGCAAACTGTTCTACATATTTTACACAGACATCATGAATCTCTAGTGAGAAAATTAGAATACAAGTAATCCTGGAACAAAGGGGAATTAATCAAGCAACTAAAGAAACTAAAAGGTATAGAATTATTAGAATTCTTTTTCTTTTATATTAATCCAATACTCTCAAGAAATCTTAAATTTTGCAAGATCATAACTTTCCTGCCCACATTTTAATTTAAAATCTATATGAAATACTCTAATTATAAGGTTAGCTATCCATTAATTTTATGCTGCATGTTTTTTTTTCCTGAGGAGGAAAAAAGTCAACTACTGGAGATAGAGATCCTGTCCCCAGAAATATATTTCATCATTGCATCAGCTGAGCTACTATTCATATGTAAGCACATACACTAAAATTATTTTTTTATTAAAGGTTTATTTGGTTTGAACCCAAGACAATTAAATTTAAAATAAGACTTTTCTCAGTATATTCACCTTACCTACTGTGAGTGATATTCCACATGCTAATTTCTGTTTGAGTTTTACTGCAGGAAGGTCCACAAGTTGATATAACAAGAACACAATGATGATAATACTTTGCTCTTACAAGTGACTCTCAGTCAAGGCTCTTATGTTATTCTGCAAACATTATTAAACCCCAGCAAAGGTCAGTATTAATGCCCCCATTTTGCAGAAGGACAAACACAGGAACAAAGAAATTAAGTGACTCACCCAAGGACGCACACTGAGGGCTTCTCTACATGGGAAAGTTAGTGTGCAGCATAGCAAGGTGTGTATTTGCAGTGCACTAGCTACTTTGCAGTAACTCCCCATGTGAACACTCAGTTATTGCACACTAAATATGCCCTGCGGCATTTTAGCTTAGTACTCTTTCAGGTGTATTAAGCTAAAGAGCACAAAGGCACTTTTAGTGCACAGTAAGAATGTCCACATGGGGAGTTAGTGTGGAGTAGCTAGTGCTCTGTGCATTCAGACCATAACTTGCTCTGCACTAAAACCCTGTGTAAACAAGCCCTGAGGTCTGGTCTACACTACCGTGGTAAATGGATCTAAGCTATGTTACTTCAGCTACGTGAATAACATAACTGAAGTCGACGTAGCTAGATCTACTTACCACAATATCTACACGGTGCTGTGTCGACGGGAGACGCTCTCCTGCCAGCTTACCTTGCGCTTCTCGGAGAGGTGGAGTATAGAAATCAATGGGAGAACGCTTTCCCATCGATTTAGCATGTCTTCATCAGACTTGCAAAGTCGATATTGTTGCATCAATTGCAGCAGCACCAATTTAGCAATCTGATGAAAACATGACCTGAGTCTTTAGCAAAGCTGAAAGTAGAGCTCAGGAAACCTGACCTGCAGTTTCCTGCTCTAGCTACTGGACCAAGGTGCTTCTAGTTTTTAATTTTCATTTTTTACAATAGGGGTTTCATGTTATTGCACCTGCAAATCCCAAAGATTGATGCTATTCAAAGATTCCTACCCAGAACCCCCAGAGACTAAACAAAGGAAAGCTCTACATTTCCTTTACTCTCCAACAACCAGATTTTGAGCACAGCTTTGACTGCGACTCTCTTTTTCCAGGTAGAATATTGGGCACAATTTTGTCTCCAGGATTATTTGCCTCTGCATTTTAGATCACTTGGCTGTCTATGTCAAATTGTATCCTGTAGTCGGGAACTTAGATGTCTGAGTGAACTAAATTGTAGTGGATGTAATTACAGGTGCAAAATTACTCCTATAAAAATGGAGCCCAGTGCCTGAGAACCCAGTCCTAAATCACAATTTCAGGGGCGAGAATCCTTTTTTTAATTTTATTTTTGGTATACTTTTTAGTTTGCAGTAGATTTTAATCAACATGCAGTATCTTTTAGCTTTTACTTTACTATTGATAGTGAGTTGTTGGAAAGGGGAGAAAACAGTATCAAACTTAGATTAGGGCCTTGGCTACACTGGCAATTCACAGCGCTACACTTGCTGCGCTCAGGAGTGTGAAAAAACACCCCCCCGAGCGCAGCGAGTGCAGCGCTGTAAAGCGCCAGTGTAATCAGCGCCTGCAGCGCTGCACGCTCGCTCGCAGCGCTGCAAGCTACTCCCCTCGGAGAGGTGGAGTACTTGCAGTGCTGCGAGAGAGCTCTTGCAGTGCTGGCGGCGCGACTACACTCGGCAGCGCTGTGAATCCGCAAGTGTAGCCAAGGCCTGAATGTTTCTTAATAAAAGGGGCAATGTTTTGTTGTCTCATTGTATTGTTAAGCTCTTTGTTGCTGACTGAAGCAGAATTCCAATGTTTTTGCACAACACCACATTGTTAATATGGTAGAGAGGATTTGATTATGGATGAGTGAGTCTGAAAATGGTAAATTTACAACAAATCTGGGATCATGGTTCTCAAGGCAGCTTTTGTGGTCACATTCTTTTATTTGATGTGGTTCCTTCTGTCTCCTGTTCCAAACGGTGTAATGTACTAAAAGTGATGAAGCTGCAAAAAAAAAAAGAGAGAGGGCGAGAGAACTGTTTAGTAACAAAGGAGAAAGAAAGAAAACAGAGCAGGAGATCAAAGACCATAATACCTGTCTTCAATCAGGAAGAAAAGAGAGAAGATGGGAGTTCCTTTTCACATGCTTCAGGCTGCTCTTCCTTACAGCCATCCTGAATGACAGATCCCTTTAAACACTTGCCTGTGTCTGAAAAGAACTTGCAATTTCAAAATAAGGCAGGACAAAGTGTACATTGAGAGCATTAACAAGGGTGTATCCAGGTAAAAGAAAGGGCTGCAGTCTATAAAGCCTGTCTTCCATCACCAGTAAATGGGATTTAACATGTTTTAACATTGGCCAATCCAAGAGACAAGCTCTTAGGTTAAAAAAAACTTAATACAAAAACAGGTTTCCCATGTCCAGGCAAGTTTTGTTTATTTACATTTTCAAGGCAGGGTAATTTCCAACCATATGATTCATAACCACTCAAAAGTGTCATTTTCTGATATTTTAATGTATTTTTTGCAGCGAGAATACAGCTTATTAGTGAGATTTCTGAATACAAATCACTAATATATAGCACTTGGTGATGGATGTATTGCTGTTGCATAGTATATTGACACTGGTACAGGTATAAATATAAGTGTGTGCACTTCCTTTCATTGTGCCAGACCTTATTCACAAATGTAAAAGTCTTTCCACTTCTTTTCCCCTCACGGAGCAAAAATAAAATGCTATTGTGCAAGAGAACTCCCACTCAAGTATACAGGGTTACTTCACATGCATGCTCCTTCCTTTGCTGATGCTGTTGAAAGGGAAGCTGATGCATGGGTTTTCTTTGCTGACAGTAAGATAACTCAAGACTCAGGTCAAAAGTGTCTGGGGCTCCTAGTCTACGTAATGGTGCAAAAAACCAAGTACTGTATATTACTATCTATCTACAGCAGTGGTTCTCAAACTTTTTTACAGGTGACCCCTTTCACATAGCAAGCCTTTGAGTGTGACCCCCCCCCTTATAAATTAAACACACTTTTTTATATATTTAACACCATTATAAATGCTGAAGGCAAAGCGGGGTTGGGTGGAGGTTGACAGCTCGCGACCCCCCATATAATAACCTCACGACCTCTGAGGGGTCCCGACCCCCAGTTTGAGAACATCTGTTCTACAGTAATGTCGACCTCATCACCATAGTATCTGAGTGCCTCACACTCTTTTTAATAGTGTTTATTCTCACAAAATTCCCGTGAATATAGGGAAGTACCATTATCTCTGTTTTACAGATGGGGAACTGAGGCACAGAAACATTAAGCCCTGGATCCACACAAAGTTTAGGTGCCTAGAAAATCAGTGGAACAACATTGGGATCCACGACACCTGAGTTAGGCACCTAGACTTCATGAACCATGCGTAGGGATGGGATCCACAAAAACCAGCATGCTAGGTGTGGAGTCATCTAAGCTAACCAGTGGGAGATGCCAACTCTCTCTCTTTGGAATTGATTTAATGAAATAACTATGATGTTACAAATCTTTTGATCTCATCCCAGAAATAGGCACCCATTTTATTTGTGAAGAGTGCTTAATATGCAATGAGCACACATAAATTAACCAAAAAATGTAAGTATATCTTAAATAGTCAGCAGACAAACTATTCAAAAATGATTTATGTAAAAATGTTAGTGTATGCTGGTGGGGTCTGTCACCAGCCCTGGAAGAATTCAGGGCCATGCCCATATCTCTTTCAGGCCTTTCCTTCAGTGCACTATTATTAATTCATAACACAAAAACTCACTAAATATTCCCAGAGCAAAGCTATTCCCACTAAGCTATTCCCAGAGCAAAACATGCTGCATGGTCCAGAGCTCTTACGCTATATACCGCTCTCTGCCCTTCTTCCCTCCCTCCCCCAAAGGGATACACCCCTTCCTTTAAATCCCGCTGAATCATATGAGAGCCAGACAGCCCCTTACCCTTTTGTAGCTGGCCAATAGTTCTTCTTTTCTTGAGAATTAATCTCTGGCTGACAGAATAGCTCAGCTTTGCTTTTCAATTTCTGCTCCATCAGAACAATTCATTGACGTTCTTGAACAGTCAGGTAACATAGAACTGTGGCCCTGAGTATATTTTGTATTCTATCATCCTGGAAACATTTGTATTATCACTTGGCAATTTGCAGCTACAAAAATGTCTGTCCTTCACAGGCTGCATTCCTATGTCACTACCTCCTTCTTTCTAAGAAAAATTACAAGCTGGCCCACTTTGTAAGAACACATATCTCAGCCAGTTCCACCTGACCTGACTGACAGACTGGGATACAAAAGTCTGAATTCCTCCAGACCTCTTGCCTGCAAGATAAAGATGAAAAAAATCTCCTGCAAGCTGCTATTACCCTTGATAGGCCTATAAGATATGACCCTGAAAGAAAACAGCATTCATTTGACTAGACATTTGTATTTTCCAGTCAGGATCAGTACTGTGCATTATCCATTCACCATAAATTCTGAAATGAGTATGTCACAAGCAGACTACCCCGTGACTTTCAGTCTAGTTCTTGATTTGCAGATGTTGCCTGGTGTGAACCTTGATTTTCTGCAACTTAAGTTTTGATTAAGCTTCCCTCCGTTCTCACAGCAGATGCATTTTGTTGCAGCAGTCTCCAGATAAATAAAAAAAGAAGGAAATCACAATAGGTGGAAAGCCTTCACTGGAAACTTTAAAAAGCATGCACAACATAAAAACATCTATTTAAAACTTTTGGAAAATGTATTGACCTATTTATGCAATGTATGTACACTTCCTCACTTGTTATTTTTAACTGTATCTATTGGAGTAAGAATTCCTGGGTTCATTTTCCAACTCAGCCAGACACTTCCTGTGTAACATTGAACAAGTCATTTCACCTCTGTTCCACAGCTTCCCCAACTGTAAAATAGAGATAATACCGCACGGGGCAGTCGTAAGGCTTAATTAATTAATATTTGTAAAATGCTTTGAGGTCGTTGGCTGGAAGGCATTCTCAAAATGCAAAATAGTATTTTATTCAAGTACTTGGCAAACAGATTTCCAGCCCAGCACAAGGAACAAACATGCACGTCTGCTCAGAGTTCCACCTGGCCCTGTTTACCTTTATTTTCTTTAAATAAATTCTGTGCAGCCATTTTCTCTTTTTCAGAGAAGGGGGTTTGCACCAGGATTCCCTCCTTTCTATGGAAGGACCCCATTCTTAAAGACCCTACCTTATATTAACCTACTTTGCAGCTGAGCAGGGTTAAGCTCAGTTTCTGTCAAAATGTTTTATAGATCTGCCAAAGGAGATGGCTTGAGAGTAATGTGGTGCATCTTGCTCCCCTCAAGGGGCAAGCATACTAATTCTACAGCAATTTCCGGCCTCCATTGAGCTCCAAACCTGGGACCACACACAGCACCTTGCCACTCTAATCCATTAGATCAAACTTCTTAGAAATTTAGATAATCGTCAGGTTTGTCATCTGGGAACTGGCTTATTTACGGGCTATTCCAGGCACACTGTGCCAGGCTATTCCAGGCACACTCTGCCAGGAAGGAGGGAGAGTTTCTGGTTGCTGGGAAACTGGACCAAACCAGAATTCTTGGAAGGACTAAATCACAAATAGCTGCCCTTTGTCTTGAACGAGGTCTGCTCTTGACCTACACTTCTGAGAAAGACGGTCCTCCCCTTCAAACCCATTAGAGGACAGTTTCTAGACCTTCACAGAGGAAAGGCATAGGGAACTGCTAGCATTCTCATGGTGCTCAAAAGCAGGAGAAAGAGGCATGCACAATCCAGATGAGAATGACTGAGAGGACTGATGAGGTACGAGAGACGTCCTTCAGAGCAGAATACAAAGACTGCGTTGATTTGTCTTTGTTCATATGGTTAATAATAATAATAATTACAGGAAATTCTAAAATTACATTTACATAGCTTCCTCTTTTCAGTTGTTTCTTTTGAAACTACTTACAGTGTTTATTTTCTTAGAGTAATGAGATCACTTGAGATCATTCAGTAAAAGCAGTGTAATCTCAGGCACTAGTATGTCTGTTAAATATTTACCCGTTGAGGCAGATATTTATATCAGTCAGCAGGGCTTATCAGTATGACGTTGGATAGTTTCTGTTGAAATTAAGATCCGTCCCCTGACTTTGTAACTACTGAAATATGTAACAACTGGAGTAAGCATTGTTTTAAATAAACTTTCAGTAAAAGACTCAACAGCTGGAATATCTCACAGTCTAATTCTCTCATAATTTAAAGACTCTCTGTGAGAGACTGATCTAAATCATAGAAGTTAGAGATGGGAAAGACATGTTAAGTCATCTTGTCCATCCCTAGGCTAATGCAGGACTTTTCCTTTCAGTGCTTTGTCCAGGATTGTTTTAAGTGTCTCCAGTGACAGAATTATCGCCATAGTCCATCAGAGGTTACTGTGTAGTTCAGCAAATCATTCTTGTTGAGATTTTTTTCTGAGATTTTCTTTTCACTCCATTTTCCTTTGCTCAATTTCTCCCTATTGCTCTCAGTTTTAACTATGGCTCACCTTAACCAGTTCTTCTCTTTGAGGTTTAAAACCATCATACGCTTGTAGGCCTTTATCAAATGTCCCCTTAGTTGACATTTAACCAAGGTAAACATATTTAGAATTTTTAAATTTGTTTTTCCTCCAACAGCACACTGTGGAACCTCATAATCATTAAGACATTTTCCTCTGAATTTCTTCCAGTTTATCTAATCTTTCAAGATTTGAGAGGCTCGGAACTCCATACAACATTGTAGGTGCATTCTCACCAGTTTTTTCATAGATACATAGATTCCAAGGCCAGAAGGAACAATTGTGATCATCTGAGCTCCTGTATAATACGGGCCATAGAACTTCCACAGAATGATTTCTAGAGTATATGTTTTAGGAAAACATCCAGTCTTGATTTAAAAATTGTCAGTGATGGAGAGCTCACCACAACCCTTGATAAGTCGTTCCTATGATTAATTATTTGCCTAATTTCAATTTCCAGACATTGGATCGTGTTTTACTTTACTCTGCTAGATTGAAGACGCCATTATTAAATGTTTGTTCCCCATTTAGGCTGAGATAAAGTCACCTCTTAACCTTCTCTTTGTTAAGCTAAATAGATTGAGCTCCTTGAGTCTATCACTGTAAGGCATATTTTTCTAATTCTTTAATTATTCTAGTAGTTCTTCTTTGAGCCCCCTCCAATTTATCAACATGCTCTTTCTTGAATTGTGAACACCAGAACAGGACACAGTGTTGCAGCAGTGGTCTCACCAGTGCCAAATACAAAGGTGCAAAAAAAATGTTAAATAGTGTAAGGCCAAGAAGTGATCCCTGCAATACCCCATTAGAAACACACCTATTTGATGATGATTCCCCATGTACAATTACATTTTGTAACCTATCAATTAGCCAGCTTTAAATCCACTTTAATATGTGCCATGTTAATTTTATATCTTTCTAGTTTTTTACTCAAAAGGTTATGTGGTATCAAGTCAAATGTCTTTCAGATATCTAGAGTGACAAGGTGGGTGAGGTAATATCTTTTATTGGCTAACATCTGGTGGTGAGAGTGCCAAGCTTTCAAGCCACACAGAACTATTCTTTATCCTGGGACCAATACGGCTACAACTACACTGCTTACAGAAATCTAAGTGTATTACATCAGTACTACTACGTTTTTCAACCAAACTTGTAATCGCAAACTTCCCTGGCTTTTTAAATGTTCTCTGTGGTCACTGATATTTGCAACACCTAAAAGTTAGCAAATATATTTACAAATATATTATGATTAAAGGAAGTAAATAAATTGCTTTATTTTCAGTAAGAGTAAACATGTGCATGCTTGTGAGCACACACCTGCTTTGTTTGCACACACATTCCTGATTTGCATACACACTTGATTACATAGGTCCCAAATGCTAGACCTATCTTTCATCTATTTTCTTTTTCTTTTGATAGAATTTAGAAATAGTTCTCACTGTGACGGGTCGGATCACAGAAACCCCCTTGGGAGCTGCCACCCAATGTACCAAGACTACCCCTGTTCCTGTTTTCCCTGCCAGCTCAGGACTCCAGCACCCCGTCTTGCTGACCCAGACACTCCCGTCTGCTCCAACACAGACCCAGGGTCTGAATCTCTTGCCCCAAAGCTGCAAGTTTACCTGAAAGCAGCTCACAGAAGTATGCTTGACTTTAGCACTCAGATGCCCAACTCCCAATGGGGTCTAAACCCAGATAAATCCGTTTTACCCTGCATAAAGCTTATGCAGGGCAAACTCATAAATTGTTCACCCTCTATAACACTGATAGAGAGAGATGCACAGTTGTTTGCTCCCCCAGGTATTAATACATACTCTGAGTAAATTACTAAATAAAAAGTGATTTTATTAAATACAGACAGTAGGATTTAAGTGGTTCCAAGTAGTAACAGACAGAACAAAGTAAGTCACCAAGCAAAATAAAATAAAATGCTCAAATCTATGTCTAATCAAGCTAAATACAGATAAGTTCCTCACCAGTTCCAGAATGCTCCCTTTTACAGGCTAATCTCCTTTTAGCCTGGGTCCAGCAATCACTCACACCCCCTGTAGTTACTGTCGTTTGTTCCAGTTCCCTTCAAGTATCCTGGGGGGGTGGAGAGGCTCCTTCCTTAGCCAGCTGAAGACAAAATGGAGGGGTCTCCCACGGGTTTAAATAGACTCTCTCTTGTGGGTGGAGACCCCCCTCCTCCCTCCTATGCAAAGTCCAGCTCCAAGATGGAGTTCTGGAGTCACCTGGGCGAGTCACATGTCCCTGCATAACTCAGTCTTTACAGGCCGAAGCCATTGTCCACATGGTATCTTGCATGTCTCCAGGAAGACGACTTATGTGGATTGGAGCATTCCAAGATGCATTGTTCCCCAAGTGTTTCCTGATCAGGTACTTAACCTGGCGAATTCCTTCCTAAAGCAGCTGACCAAATGCCTCACAAAGCTTACTTAGAAATCAAGCAAGCATACAGCCCATATTCTTAACCTCAAGTAGAAAATGATATATATGTACAAATAGGATGAATAGATATAGTAGACCATAACCTTTACAGAGATGTATTACATGGCACAGGCAGCACAAAACATATTCCAGTTATGTCATACATACATTTATAAGCATCCCCCCCCCCCATAAAG